TCGGTAATGTGACTTATCTACTTCTTACAACTCTTGTAGATGTCATCTTACCTCGTTCCTTGAGCGAAATTCAAAATTGGAATCGCTGATTAACTCATATATAGCAATGAAATATCCTGAAGTTGCTCCTATCAACATCTGAAGTAATATTTGATTCAAAATTTTTCTCATGTTCCACTCAGTCTCCTTCAGAAGGAAGAATAAGCATAGTCGTACAACGATCACAACTCCACCACTTTCCCAACACGACTGATACATTTCCTTAATTCGCGAACCGCTCTCTCCGACTCAAGCGTTGATTCGCTGAAATTTGAAGACCTGTCAAACCACAAATTAGCAAGAACGCTCTGATTGGTGCGACATCGAAAAATACTACAATCTGATTGGTTTGTGATACACCAAAAAATTGGGCCAATCACATTGCGTTGAGATACACCAAAAAAAGGATGCGCCAATCAGATTGCTCAGAGATACACCATATTGCGCTGATAAGATTACACTACACCACAATACACCAATCTGTACGCTAACATATAGTTATTTTTTTAAAAAAATAACTCAAAAAAATATTTACAAGGAACATAATGGAACTGTAGGTCAATTTTCCACGCAACTCTCACGTGCTCAGACGTTTTTTACCAATAAAATTCGTTCTTAGCTACCTTGGACTTAACCCCCATTGCGTGTCAACTCCCTGTAAGCAACCTGCACTTTATCACGTATTTGGCACCCACGGGGTACAGTCCAGATAGGCAACAACCAATAGTAAGAAGCCCACGTTGTTATGCTTTGAAAAACGACACTCTTTTTCTTCGTTCAATCTATTTTCACTTGTTCGAAGAACGGAGACCGAAACATCTTTGTCCAGAAGCTGTTGGAGATAAGATAGAGCTTTCCACTGCAAAATTATATGGAAGAATATTATGAGGCGACTATTTGTTACTGAACAAGAGGCTACACGGAGCCTATATTCTGGCCGGATCTGAGGTTCAGCGGATCAAATTGAATTGGTTCGAGTTGAAAGCGTTGCTGTTTTAACAGAATCGCTGCCTAGTGCTTTTCATTATTTGTTAACTGGAGAGTTATGGAGATTAAGACTTTGGAACAAGTTGATGTCATCCATGACAATTTGGAAATACTAAAATTGCTAGAGGAAATGCGGGGTCGCTCAATAAAAATTTGCATGTGAACGCGATGACTTTGTCTATAAGGATTTCTCTTACTTACATCTAATAACATTCCACAAGTTTCTTTTGTTCCTTTTTTTTTGTTCTTTCTTTTGTCAGAAAAGTATAGTTCTTTCGTCCGCTATATTAATCTGTTAATAAATCCAATCGCCAAAGGTTACTGACATACGACAATGAACTTTTACTGTTCCTGAGGGTTCTTGTTTTCACCAGTACGATAACAATAGAAGTAATTTACAGTACTAAGTTTGTGCTTTAAATGAATATATCTAAGTTCGCTCGAAAGATAAGTTTAAACTGTAGCAAGCTTGGTCATCGGCCCAGCATTTTAAGCCTGACCGACACTCGATGCCAAAACTCATCCTCGTTCCCAGGGTATGTCCACCACATTGCTTTAAGCCAATTAAAAAGTGCTAAGTAACGCCTATTGTACATCTTTCTGCGGCCAGGAAAAACCAAACGGAATGACTAATTATGTGCCTTTACGGCGAGAATAATAATTGCGGTTTTGTCTCTGCTGAAGAGGCGGCAGTGAACATTATTATAGCCTTCGAGCAGGTCGTTGTTTGGTCTCGTCATGCAACGTTAAAGAGAGAGCGTTGCGTGATGAGTTCAAATTAGGGCTGTGGAGGGAACTGCTGGAAGCGTGGTGTCAATGCAGTTTATTATTGCCAACAATTATTCGGACACCAGAATCAGTTACTAAGTGTCCCATTTCAACCCACACATCCAAAAAAATAACTCCTGCATGCGTAGCCTGCCTATGTTTGTGATGATCAACATGACAGAGGAAAAAAATATTAACCAAAAAATGTGTAAGAAATCGATTTATAATCGCGAGGAGTCGGAAACGAATAAATTGCCGACGAATCCCATTCAAGAAAAAAAAAACAGAGTGAGAAATAGTCGGGGGCAATGGAACTCGGAAACGAGGAGAAAACAAGTCGATGAAAACGTGATGTTAATTTTCGACGTTGCGCGTTGTCAAACCCACGCGTGGATGGTGAACTAGGTAAGTGAAGCGGTCGTTTTTTCTAACTTTAGAATGAATTTCCGCCAAATGCGTATTTCAGTGTTTCACAGTTTTCGAAGTTGGAACAAATTTGGCTTTGAAAGATGCCTTGGAGTATTCAATGACTGCTGTCTTCGCCGCGACAAACAACAACGCTTCAAAGACAGCGCCGCATTTCCACTTGGAATAAAAATCCAGGTTGTCCTTATGGCAAATGCCGAACAACTTAACCCTTGGCTTTGGGTGCCTGATGAGGACTTGGTTGTCCTTTAAATGTTGTATGATTTTCGGTTTAAATTTTGTGTTCTGAGGCCGTGAAATTATATATGTAATTACATTCGATTCACAGCGGCGTTAAACAGTGGATCTGATATATAACTGCAGGATGCCTTCCAGTTTTAAAAACACAACGCTTTCACTTACTGGTAATGTTGATAAAAATATTTCTTTGTATTTTCTGAAGCGGTTTCGTAATTTTCTAATTCCCAACACCCGCAAAACAGGTGTTACGAAAACTCAGACCCCGAAAACTTAGACCTCGGAACCCGAAAACTCGGACCCCGAAAACTCGGACCCCGAAAACTTGGACCCCGAAAACTTGGACCCCGAAAACTTGGACCCCGAAAACTCGGACCCCGAAAACTTGGACCCCGAAAACTCGGACCTCGAAAACTCAGATCCCGAAAACTCAGACCCCGAAAACTCAGACCCCTCGAAATTTATTTCAATTTTATTTGCCAAAGAGATAAACTCGACTCGTGATCATATTCTTTAACATGTCGCGTATTTTTTTTATTATGTCACACAATCAACCCACGAGTATACATTCACTTTGATTCAATGGGCTTTTAAAACTCTTCCTTGGCTGCCAGTATTTAATTGAGTGCATCCTAATAGATAATTTAAGGGATATGAATGAGGATTGAAGTTCGAAATGTCGCCTTGCTCAATAAATATTAACGGACACTCTCGTAAGTCGACAGCTCTACTTGCGGCCACCTAGTCAAAACCCCGTTTTATTAAACTCCCATACAAACTCCGTATTTTCCCATTCTTGTGAGCGGAAACTTTTTACGGATACTTTTTTCGCTCCTTGAGGGTGTCCGCTTAAGAGACCTTCGACTGTACACGAGTACAGCACAGGTCAAAGAGGTTTAATAATACATATTTACCCATGCCGAAAACCATTGCTGCGGCCGATCGATCGCTCGATAGATCCACCGTCTACGTTCTTAAGTTTAATGACTCTCGTATCACGTACGAAGCTTTATAAAGAAATGAGTAACGAAAATCAAATACAGGTACGCCAGAAATTTCAACATTAGTTCTAACATTTTACTGACTTAATAATATACATGAAAAAATTTCTCAGTTCTGATTGGCTAAGATGAATGCAGTTTTCAGTTAATTCAGTGCAGAAGAGGGTTAATCCAGTGCAAAGAAAGAAACAAACCGGACATTCTGATTAGTCAGAATGATTGGTCAAGGTCAATGTCACTGCAGGGTTTGAATACACTATTTTTGCACGTGATGCGCGCGCTTTTCTTCTCCGTAGTTATGAGAAGCTACCTCGTATTTTTTTCATGTATATTATTAATACATAATCACATGATTTTTTCGTGCAATTTTGAATAAATAAGCACGAGTAAAGTTTTTCAAAGACTAACAAAATTGCATGAGCCCGTAGGGCGAGTGCAATTTGTGGTCTTTGAAAAAATTTACAAGTCGAAATCATGTGATTACCTATACTAACTAGCTTTGTTGACGCGAGTTACTGCGTGTGTTGGAAACCTTACAATGCATTCATCTTTAGCCTGCGAACACAGGCGACTTTTGTTTCACGCCGCCGTGTTTCATGGACATCCGTCTGTGTTCACAGGCTAGTTTATTTAAAGGTAAAGGTAAAGGTCTCTATTTCTCTAAACAACATACGTGTTTAGTTAAAATTTTTT